TCAAATGCATCAATTCCTCTTCGGTTTTCCTTATTCAATGTGCAACTTCCACATGCATGACGCAATGGAGAACACCATGGCTCAAGGCAGGCACTCCTTAATCCTCAAGGTAACAGCCTTGCTTTTCGACCTGCAAGAGGTCTTGTGTAGCAGATTTAACCAATGCCGTGCATCGTTTGATCTTTGGACTGCTGTTCCATGAGCATTGATTGTGGATCAAAACAAGACGAAATCCTGGACAACTTCAATTTTTTTTCTCCATTGGTCCTGAGGTTCCCCATTAGTCCAGTTGTGAGGATTTTAGTCTTTTTAACATTGGGTTGGAATCCATATCAAAAGCTGCAGTCCTTGATCTCCATCAGCAAGTACTTCAAGCAAGCGAGCGAGATTTGAATATTGCGGGTTATTAATAAGCCTACCTCCAATCCTGATGCCTCACTCTTCTTCATATAGTTCAACTTCTTGGATTATTTACCCAGAAAAAGAATGAATACGTATGCTAAGAGGACACAACTCTGATGCATACCTTCCTTGATTTTAAACCATGCAGTATTCCCTTGTCTGTTCATACAACTGCCTGTTGATCCAAATACAGGTTTTTCATGAGCACACGGGCGTGTTCTGTAAGTCTCACTCTTCTCAGGTTACCCACAGCTTCTTGTGGTCCACACCTTTACATAGTCAATGAAACACAAATGAACATCTTTGAGATCTTCCTTGCTCTCAGTCAAGAGCCACCTGACATTAGTAATCATATACTCCTTGTTCCACATCTTCTTCTGAATCGAATCTGACTGTCTGCCACTCTCTGGCAATGCACTGCTGCAACTGTTGTTGGATAATCTTCAGCAAAAATCCACTTGCATGTAATATCAATGATATTGTTCAACCATGTGTGCATTCGGTTGGGTCATCTTTCTTTGGAATGGTACAAACATGGAGCTCTTCCAGTCTGCTGTTCAAGGAACTGTCTTCGAGGAGTTTTGGCACAGGCGAGTGAGTGATTCCAATGCTCCAACAGCTTCTTGAAATATTTCAACTAGTATCCCATCAATCCCTGGAGCCTCGTTGTTGGCTACTGTTTTCAGGGTAGCTTGGCCTTCTTCCTTCAGTACCACTGGTTCTTGGTCATAAGCTACCTCTTGAAATGGTTGGTGTTGACCAGTTCTTTTTGGTACAGCGACTCTGTGTATTCTTTCCATCTTCCTTTGATGATTCCTGCATCGTTCAATAGTTTGCCCACAGAATCTTTCATTATTGCAACTTGAGGTTTCAACATTTTTGAGTCCTTTCAGTTTAAGATATGCTAAGTGTGTTCTTCCTTTTGTTTTTCTAATTGGAGGTCTTTGCATGTTTTCTTAGATTACTTTGTATTCTTGAGCTTCCCTTTGAAGTTTTCTGTTCAACTCTTGGACTTTATCATTTCTTCCATTTGCTACTCTATGTTACTCTTAGCTACTCTATGATTAAGAGTAAGTTTCAGAGTCTCTTTGGATATCCACTTTGATCTTTTCTCTTGTACCTAACTTTTTAATGGCCATTTGCTTTCTTCGTGTATGATGTTCTTGATGTCATCCCACGGCGCATCAGGTCTTCTGTCGTTAGTGTTCAGTGCGTCAAATCTGTTCTCGAGATGTTCTCAAAATTCAGGTGGAAATACGCAAGGCTGTTTTTTGGCTCCTGTGGACTTGTTTTAATTTTCTTCAGCTTCAACCTGAACTTGCATATGTGCAATTGATGGTCTGTTCTAGAGTCACCTCCGGGCCTCATTTTAGCTGCTGATATTGAGCTTCTCCATCATCTCTTCTCATAGGTGTAGTCAACTTGTTTCTGTGTATTCCACCTGGAGAAGTTCAAGTATATAGTTGCTGTGTGTATTTCTTAAAAAAACAAACAAAGTTATTTGCAATAAAGTAGGTTGTCTTGCAAAGTGCAATCATGCGATCTCCAGCTTACGTCATCAAGGCCATCGTTTCTAACCACCATTCCTTCGTCTTCGTTTCCAACGTTTGCATTCTAATTGCCAATAATTATCAAGGCATCCCGATTGCATGTTTGACCTATTTTAGACTGAAGAAGTAACCAGAATTATTCAATTTCTTCATCAATACCTTTAGTGGTTAATGCATAAATTTGAGTAATAATTGCATCGACTGCATTTCCTTATAGGCAGGCATATCACAGTTTACTAAATTACAATTCCTAAATTCAGTCGTTTACCTGGAACAAATGATTTTAGGTGAACCTCAGAGCCCCTGCTAATAAAATGTGATGGTGATGTGGTTTTCACAAGGATGGGCAGCAGTTTGGTTTCTTTATGCTTCGAGTTAATAAGGCCCTGCCCTGTCATCAGAATGATCTTTTCACCTACCCATCCCTTGCACATCTAACTAATTTGCTAATTGCTCTTGGGGTTTTAAGCTAATTGAACTTAAATGAGTGTTCACTCTGTGTAAAATGGGCATACAGAATTGAGGAATTTAAACAGTCCATATAAATTAAAGAATTTAAAAGGTTCACATGTTATAAAAGTTGTAAGAGCCCCCAATAAAATGATCTTTTAATAATAATAGTAATAAAAGGTCCACATATACCTCCCTTAACACAAGGTTCACAGTGGTAGGTGCAACAATGCAAGTCTTTGGTAGTTACGTAATCTATTGTCGATTTGAGACCTGAGAGTGAAGGGGTGGTGTGTAGGCTGTCAATCAGGCCACAGCTTGATGACCTCATTTGGAGGTGCTAAGGAGATAAATAGCTTGCTGGAGGCAGGGCACACACTCACTCCTTAAGGGGCATACTTGCTGACGAGACACATGGAGCTACGTTAGAACCCTGGAGCTGAAGGAACCATATGGAGACACCTGCCAGCGCTGAGATGCTTACAATGCCACTGGATCCACAAGACATTCCACCCACTCGCCTGTGATCTTCCTGCATTTGGCATCATTGCATGTGTTTCGTGAGTCTGAAGAGGAATTTATAGATTGGTATCGGATATATGGGCTAATATCGGATTTATGGACTTGATCTGGATTTGGCTGGGATGTTTTCTCAATATTCAATTGCTCTTATATATAAAGCTCTTTCTTATACACGCGAGTGTCTATGAATTTGTTTCTCTAGGCTACACGGACTGACACAAAGCCTAAAGAAAGTATATGGGGAAGGGGGAGGGAGGCTCACTGCAGCAGATGGGGCTAGGATCTTGCAGGCAGGTGCTGTCTCGATGAGGCTTCTAGACTGGACGGGGAAACACCGAGGAGTACATGAGGATGGCGGAGCAGGGAGGTGAGTGAGAGGAACATGAAGAACTTTGATGGGTCAAGACATATAAGTGGGGAGAGATGGTTTAGAGAGACAGGTGAACAGAATGGGCCAGCCTTCATATAATCCTATAACTCTCAGCTCTCGAGAGCAGCAGAGCCTGAGACTTACCTCTGTGCCACACAGAGGATGGGGAAGGTGTATGATCTCACATTCAAGATTATGCATAGGGCAAAGGGGAGGGGAGTCTGCAGCTATATTTTAGGTACTTCATCATTTGACTTTGAGTTCTTCTAAAGGGTGAATTAACCTGGGTGGGCCTGATCTTATATTAGGAAAGTCCTTTAACAGTAGGCCCAGGGATTTAAAATAAGACTTTCTCTCCTGTTGGCCATAAAGAAGCATGCTGCATGCATTCTAACACTTCAGGGAGATTAATTCTGCCAAGAAGCAGGTGGATGAGCATTCCCCAAGTCCAGATGAGACGGTAGCATAGTTGACCAATTGATTATAGTCCTGTGAAATCCTGGGCAGAGGACCCAGGAAGCCCAGGCCTGGACTAATGACCCAGGGAGAGCTGGAAATAGGTGCCACATGCAATGTACTTTGCAGCAGAGGGAAATGAGGCATTGGGCTGCTAACTGCAAGGTCAGCAGTTCAAAACCACCAGCTTCTCCAAGGGAGAAAAATGAGGCTTTCTATACTCCCACAAAGACCTACAGTCTTAGAAACTCACGTGGGCAGTTCTACTCTGTCCTGTAAGGTTGCTATGAGCCGACGTCGACTGTATGGCAGTGAGCTTGGTTTGGGTTTTTTGTTCCCAAGAGTGGGCCTGGGTTAAACTAAGGATATAGCAGTCTCTTTTGTACCCAATTAAAAGAGAGAGAGAGAGAGAGAGAGAGAGAGAGGAAGCAAAAACCAAGTAAAGAAATTGGCAGTCACTGAAAAAACTCTAGGATCCTTCGGGTTTCTGCTGCTATTTATAAATATTTACTCCTCCCAGAATTCCTGACCTCACAGAAGAGCCTGCGTAAATAGTTCTGCTCCTTTACTGGAAACCGTGCGTGTGTGTGTGTGTGTGTGTGTGTGTGTGTGTGTGTGTGTGTGTGTGTGTCTGAATGTGCATGTGGATGTGCACATGCTGCTACGTTTTCTTGGAAGGGCGACCAGCAGCCAGAAAGGACTAGATGCTCACAGATTCACTTCCTGCTGCCTGTTGGCTACTTCCCTTGCCCCTGTCCCAGATCATAAACCCCAAGGCCCCCCAGCAGGCCATCCTTCCCTGATTCGATCTTTAGGAGACCGCTAAAGCAAACAAACTCAGGAAGTGGCAAGACGTTGGGAAGGGGAGGAAGTTCATGGCACAGAAGGAAAAAGAATGCCCCGATGTTCAAGGAAGAGGGGGGGCGGGGAGAGACGAAGGTCACCCGAGCATGCTCGGCACCACGTCCTGACCACGTCAGGCTGGAGCGTTAAATCAAAACTGGCACAAACAGCGGGGCACATCTCCTGGGGACATTCAAATAGCAACATGCTCAGGGATAAACAGCCCCCCGACCCCACCCCGAAGAAGTTCCTTGTAAACAACGGGAACAAACAAGGAATCTAAAGCTGGTTGCTGGGACGACAGTTGGGTGGGAGTCAAAGTCTGCTCAAGTGTCCAGAGAAGTCGTTACGAGGATGGTGCTTGGTGTGGTTTGGATTGAACTTTAAAACCGGGGAGGAGAGGCTACCTGTAGATGACGCCATGCTGGTGCAGGAACATGAGGGCGGAAGTGACCTCGGCCGCATAGAACCGCGAGCGGGGCTCGTCGAATTTTCGGGAGCGCTGAATCTGAAACATGAGGTCTCCGCCGTTGACGTACTCCATGACGAAAAAGAGGCGGTCCTGCAAGAAGAGGAGAGAAGCCAGTGAGCTGCGGGCCCACAGGCAGGCAGGCAGGCTCCAGGGGAGCCCACGGAGCGAGTCGCGGGGGGTCCCGGGAGGACACAGCTAGAGAAAAAGCACGTGATTCAGACAGGTGAATACGGCGAGATGGGATCCCTTTAACGTCTCTGTCCTCACGTGGCTTTTCCAGGAGAAAAATGGGCCGCCACAAGGGTAGAAAAGAGACGTGGGGTCTCCGATTTCTGTCATGAACTTGAGGGGTGGCCTTGGACGAGCCTCTGTTCTCCAGAGGCTCCAGATCTCTGCCTACAAGGGGGTGGGGTGGGGTTTGACAACGTCTGTCAAAAAATGAAACTACAGTGAGTGTTATATGAGCCCCCAACAAAGTGATTTTAAAAATGAATGTAAAACAATGAAACTACAACCTAGTAGAAGTTTTTCACGATTTTTTTGGGAAGCCCTCTCCATATGTGCGGTAGCTGGAAGAACGTCCCGTCTGGCAAAAGATACCAATGTCCTTATCTCTGGAATCTGAGAATGCTACCTTATGGGGTCAAATTCAAAAAGAAAGGCTTTTCAGAAGAAATGTATATTTTTGAGTTGAGATTACGTACGTAGGGCAGCTCTGGTGATGTTGCCGGTTAAGCATTAGGCTGCTAACTGGCCATTCACACCCATCCTCTGCTCTGTAGGGGAAAGATGAGGCTGTGTGTTTGGTCAAGATTTACCTTGACCAAACCATTTATATATATAACCATTTAGATACATAGATAGCTAGATACATAGATAGATAGATGATAGATACATAGATAGATAGATAGGTAGATAGATAGATAGACAGACAGATAGATAAATGATTGATAGATATAGATAGATAGGCAGATAGATAGACAGACATAGATAAATGGATGGCTTCCTTGGCTACATTTCAAAAAATCCAAAGCTCTGAAGAGGAGTCCCCCCGACCCCCTTCACTCGCTCGGTTGGTTTTGACTCAGTAACCCTGGAGCCTCAGCCAGACATGGTACTTAAGGATGGGCTTTGGGGTGAGGAAGGCTTCCCTCCCAACTCTATCCCTTACTGGCTGTGTGGCCTCAGGCAAGCAGCTTTGTCCCTCTGGGTTCAGTTTTCCCATCTGCCAAAATGAGGACGCTAGCAGGGCCTGGCTTACAGGTATCGTATGAGGGTGGAATTACATGTTACAGTGCCCACCGGGTTCAGAACCGGCGCTCTGTCAAGATTATCATGATCCAGTCTTTGCGTTTCCTGTCCTGCCAGAATCTCCTCCCCTAACCACCTCTTGGGCATACCAGTCCTTTCTTCCCTGGATTTCGATGGCATCACGCTCCTGATTGTTGCCCTATGTTCTGGCAGGGTTGTATCTGCCTCTCTGTGGAGGCTTCTCCTCTCCTTCCCTCTCCTCGGCCACTAAGTGCCGGGGTCCCAGGAGGCTGGCTTCCGGGCCCTCCCCTTTGTGAACTCTGAGCTGGCTGAGTGATCTCATCCTCACCCAGGGCCTAACACACCTGCACACAAACACTCTCCTCCATCCAGACCTGTTCTCCACACTCCAGCCTCGTTTACCCAACTGTGCTTCTGACATCTCTTCCCAGATGCCTCAAAGGCTGCCGACATCCTCAAAACATAATTCCTCAGCACACCGGCCCTCGTGGTGGGTCTCATGTCTCACGGAAGGGCTGCACTATTCAACCAAATTCACACGTCAGAAATAAGGAAGCCATTCCTAACCCCTCCGTCCCCTTCTTCCCTCACACTCATTAGCATGCTCTCCCGTTTTAAAAATACTCTACCTGTCGTATTGTATTTGTCTTTATATGCTTTCTGTGGTAGCATTCACAGTGCAGGTGTCTATTTTTATGTAAGTGATGTATGTCTCCACCCCCCCACCCCCCAGTAGTCTGGCTAGTTCATGAGGGCAGGAACTATTGGCAATTCTGACTTGAGGGACCTGAAATAGGTGCTTCTCTAGCACTAGTACCTTAGTGAGTTATGTGCTGGGTTGCTAACTGCAAGGGCAGCAGTTCAAACCTACCAGCTGCTCCTCAGGAGAAAGATGAGGCTTTGGGCAGTTCTACCTTGTCGTCTAGGGTTACCAGGAGGTAGAATCCACCTGACGGCAGTGAGTTTGTTGATCATGACCTTTTAAAAAAGCACGCATTGTGTGGATTACAAAAGGACACCCACAGCGATGGAGTCGATTCTGTCTCCTAGTGACCTCGTGGGTGACACAGCAGAAGTACTCTGCGGGGTTTTCTTTCTGGGAACAGACCACCAGGCCTTTCTTCTGCGGTGCCATTGGGGGGATTCAAGGGACACCATGCTTGGTCAAGTGGTGGGGCAGCGAAAAAGAGGAGGCCCTTTGGCAAGATGATGGACACCGTGGCCACAATGGGCTCAAGCATTGGAACCGTTATGAGGATGGCACCGGATGGGGGGAGGGGTTCCCTTCTGTCGTCCGCAGGGTCACCTACGAGGCAGAGCTGGCTCAAAGGCACCTAAACCACAAGCAGAGCCACAGGTTCAGGGTTCAAGCAAAACCCAGACGCCTCAGTCCTGGCATCTGTGACTCCTTACTGCTTTCGCACTCAAGGGAGGAGTCGGTCTGCTGCAGGGGCCTTCGTGCAAGGTCGAATCTGGAGACGAGGCCAGTGCGGACCATCTCAACCCACACGGGTCCTCAACTGCCCCACACTGGATGACAGCCTTGGACAGGTCTTTTGCCCCAGTGTCTCCCCGTCATAGCGAGATTGTCAGCCCTTCGAATAACACGCTTGAGTTAGTTTATTGTGCCAACCTGGCCGATAAACACATGTGGGATTAATTGAAGGACGGAGAGATAAATGGCTCGGTGAGCCTTGCCTTTCGAGTTCTCAGGTCTCTTGCTTTGTGATGGTCGGACCAGGGTGCAGCTGCCTTAGCCAGTTCCCTACTTCAGGCGCAAGGCTCACTTCCTGCAAGACATTCCTGAGGAGAAGCCACACGGACCTACCCTGATGCAGCCCTGGGTGCTGGAGCAGCCATGTGGAGACCCCTGCCAGCGCTGAGATGCTTACACGTTCACTGACTCGGCTTTCCTCCTGCAGTCGGCATCATCGCCTCTGCTTTGTGAGATGGAGGAGGAATTTGGGGACTGGTGTTGGGCATATGGGTTAATGGGTGAATATTGGACTTGTGGGGTTGGGCAGCACTGGGTTGGGATGCTTTCTTGATGCGCACTTAACCTTTATATAAAACTCTCTCTTTTACATGAGTTTCTGTGGATTTGTTTCTCTAAAGTACCCAGATGAATACAACGCTCAGTCAGCACTAGCTGATGACCTCTCGCCTAGGGAGGCCTTCAGTACAAAGGTTCCCATCCAACATCCCTACCGTGAGAGGGCAGGGGGGGAAGGGCTTGGCTGGTTTAGTTCCTTACTGTCTCCCTGGAAAGGAGGGCTCTCCACGGCGGACTCTGGGGCACGAGATCGTCAGGCCTTTCTTCTGAGAAGCCCCTGGGTGAGCGCGAGTCACCAACCTTTCCGTGAGCAGCGGCGTGTGTGACCTTTCCGCACCAACCTGGGGCTTGGCCCTGGCTCAGTGGGCTCCTGATACGTCTCTGTTGAATGCGTGAGACTTGAACAGTCGCCAAACACCAGGCTCCAGTTGATGGAGATGCTATTGTTAACCGCCTGTTAAGTTGTTTTAACTGCCGGGCATTTTGAGCTCTGGTTTTAAGCCGCCTTCGCCTGGCCCTAAAGCATTGTCAAGTCTTTTTTTCCAAGGTTAAAGTGTGAGGTAAGGTTCTTACCTCCCCTCCCTCTATTCAGTGAGTCTGGATGGTTTCTGGCCTCCACCGCTCACACCTTTGAGAAGCATGTTTTGATGCTGAGGGAGAACCTCAAGTCATTCTGGGAACTGCTTAATTACATAAACTGAAATCAAAAGAAAGTTGGCAAACCCAGCGGCTACTCGTTAATCCCCTCTTGGCATCGGTGGAAAACCGAGCAAAACAAAAAACCAACTTCCTGGTAAAGTAAGCAAATCTGTTTTCTGAGGTAATCAAAGATTTTAAAAGCCTATGCCACCTCCTCCTCCCTTAATCTCACCTGAATGTCTCAAAAGTTACGGTCTTGTGATAGCAAGTAAAATAATCAAATTAGGAAAGAGATTATGTGTCATGGCTATTTAGGGTAAGCACAGTCAATAATCATGACCTTCGGGCCACAAGGGCCACACCGTGTGTTGGAAATTCCCATTGGGCTCCGTTTCTCAGAGTGCTAACCTTTCCTGCCTTTGAAGGGAACACTGGGCCCGCCCTGTTCATCTTTCAAGGGTGATGGATAGCCTGAGGCTTCCTCCCAGCCGCACTGCGTGCCCTTCTACTCGGGTTTGTTTGGACACAAATTCACCATCGTTTGTTAGCTGTTTACATGTGCAAAGATTCTATCGCCTGTGAATCAAATCCACATGAGGGACCAACAAAAGGTTGGCCGTGGGCCAGCTGCCTTTGATGTGCTGGTGCCGGCATGAGGGGTGCCACTAGCGTGCCAACGAAGAGGACCACGCGGCCTTGTTTCTTGCCCTGTAACCTCTCTTCTCCTCATTGCCGCATTTTGAAGCAGACCAGTGCAATGGATCTTTCTGGGTGCCCAGCCTGCCTTGGGTGCGTCAGGGGCAAGGTAGATGATGGCTTTGGTTTCCGGCCTTGCCACTGGACACAGGAAGCTCTAGCAGGCAACAAAAATGGCTTTATCGTTAGGGACTAAGTCGAGTTATGATCGCATCTCCTTTAGCCCCTCTAGATCCCTGGTGGCATAGTGGGCTGTAATCTGTCTTGGAAATGCACAGGGGCAGTTCCACCTGTCCTAGAGGGTCGCTGTGAGTTGGCGTGGACTCCATGGCGGTGGGTTTGGTTTCTGGGAAAATGACCAGGAGCCCTGGGGGTGTGGTTGTCCACCCAGGGACACTGGAAGAAATGCCTGGCGATCCCCATCTGGAAA